AGCCGCGGAGAGCCGCCGGCGCCGGCCGCCCTTCCCGCCGGCGCTGGGCTACCAGGGGCAATACAGAGACCGGTACGACCACGCAAGCAGAAAGGCCGGGAAGTCACCCACCGTACACCTGAAACAACACACGTTAGTGGAAGCAGTGCCAAACCTCTCCCCCACCGTTTCTCTCGAGCTAAGAACTGGATCTAGAAGCAAACGCACAAGGACCCGCGGGCGCCTGACGGAGAGAAGAGCACAGATTGGAGAGTCAACTAAAAGAACATAACAGAAACATGCTTCTGCGCTTCTAAAAAGTGCTTAATCCATGGTACACACCCTTAGCTCAGCCCCAGCGGGGCACAAAGGCCTAATGACGAGTACTACAACCAAAATAGAATCGATTTAGGTAAGGCAATAAAATATAGTGTAATTACACAGACCCAGATTCATCTCCTAATAAAGGACGAACGGTTCCCATCAGTCTCTCAACAACAAAACCACCGTCATGACCACGGCAACGTTTCTTCAGCCTCTGAAGCGGATGACGAGTTTTTGTACTTTATTGTAGCTTTTATATAAAAATTTTTCATTCAAGGACTTTCATCTCGATTTGTGCCAATCACTTTATAAGTTCATTAGTTTACAAATGATTGCAACAACCCGTTAATAAAATGGAACACCTAAAAAGGTTTTTAGTATTTTAAATAACTTCAAGCTTCATACTGCGGCTCTTCTTGTTAAGGAGGTTGAGCCAGCGAGTAGCAGGAACAGCCCAGCAAGTTCTGATGCCCCAGTGGAAGTGACTAGTTACAAGGTTTTATTGGCACAGCCTTGCTCTGCTTAAAAAAAAAAAAAAAAAACAAAAAAAAAACAAACAAAAACCAAAAAAACCCAAACAACCAGGAACAAACAAAAAAAGAAAACAAAAAGAAAAAAACCCAAACTGAAACAAAAAACTAACATAACCTAAACAAAGAGCATCTTCTCCAAGAAACAGTTCATATTCTCATACAGCCATGAAAAATGTTTAATGACTTAACATACACGTGTTTTTCCTATATCATTAATTTGGAAATACTACAAATGCTGTCATTTTAGACCAGAAAAACTACTGTGATTTGCAAGACCTGACATTTCCTAAAACAGTATTAAACAACGTATTAAACTTCTTGGCTTTAAATGAAACAATACAACGCAAGTCTCTGCAGTCTGCATTTTGCAAAAGGTAAGAAATACACAAAAGAGTGTGAACAGCTCACGCCTATTGAATGATCTTTAGTAACTCGATAGCCTGCTGTGGGGAGCTTACGCTGCCAAATAAAAAAAAAAGGGGGGGAGAAGGGAGGGCCTGGCCCAAATATGCTTAATCCCTAAGAACAAACACGGTAAAGGCCCAAACTGCTCCGTCCAGATACCTACAAAGAGCGGAATGGTAAGGCTGTAACTTATACTTTACGTGTCAGTTGACAGATTATCCACTAACTTATCTAATAGCTAAAGTCTTCAGTACGGCTGTTATGGGGGCACTCATAGCTTGAGTCTGTGTGTTGGAAAACATAAAAAAGAGCTTGTTTTGTTGACGTTGGTCCAGGTATACAACAGTCCTCGATGTTAGCCGTCTTCCTTCGGAGGAGTGTACCAGCCTACGGAGAAGAGAGAAACACGTTAGGTACCGACACTGCTGTGTCAGGACGATCTTGCCATCTTACCCTGAACTTGTGGGAGACGGAAGCCTAATCTGGCTCCTCCCCTCCCTCTCAGAGTAGGCCAGCTCAGTGAGACCCAGCGCCCTGAACGCTAGCGGTCTGCAGCGGGAGATAAAGCACGTGGCATACTCCAGGAGCAGACCCAGTATTTGGGCGTGAAAATGAAATGCTTCCAAGAGTGGGGTTTTTCTGTGGCAGCAGCTATCCCGAGGTGGACAAGCTGGACATCCACAGAGGAAGCTGCTGAAGGAGGAACACTGCTGTAACAAAACCGAATGGAACACAGGTAAAACCCCCAAGTCTTCAAGCCACTTAATGCACAGGCATACAAACGTGACTACGCTGGGATACTGATAGATAAACCCCATCTTGCACACTGAAGAGGTTAGGCGCGCACAAGCACTTGAACGGTTTACCCTACTTCCGCAAATCCTGCTGCAGGAACGGGCCCAGAAATGTCAGTCGAGTAGCTTGCCTCCTGATAGGATTTGGCATGTTTAGCCGTTGAATCATACCTGATCAAGCGTGCATAGTTTTTTCTAGCCACCTCCAGATCTCCAATCTGAATTCTCCCCGCCACTATTGTAAAAAAATCCTCTACATTTTTGTGCAGTGAGTACAGGGCCTATTTATGTTGTCCCAGAGAACAGGTAGCAGCTATAAGTTAAAGACACCTTTCGCAGCAGCAATAAATGCTGTGAATGCTTTGTGCACAGCTCCTGACGCAGCAGTAATCACTGTAGTCAAGGCTAGCATATAGCTAGAAGTAAACAGACAGCCATGCTGGCTTTTGTGGCAAACTAAAAAAGCAAAAGACTCAGTTAATGGCAAGATCAAAATATTGTAAAATTGGAAAGCATTTTAAAGTCATTATCTTTGATCTTCCTCCCAGTAGCATAGAAGGCATTATGTTCAATTTTAGAGGTAGGGAAACTGAGGTGCTCGCTACAGTCACACTGAAATACGCTCTCGTGTTCACAGCAACATGAATTCCCAGAGGGGACTGTGTCCAGCCCGGACCAAAGAACATCACGGAAGCGGTAACTGGGACTAACTCCCTCATCACGAGACCAGGGTACCAATTCTGCTGACTACTTTTACATAACGTGTAAGCCACTTAAACCTTTTAAAGCCTCAGGTCATTTGCTGTCTTCTCGTCTTGGCATGATGAATGCAATTATACCTGAAGCACTTCAATACTTGTTTTACACAACTGAGAGACCATTAACTGGCTTTAAATGGGGGGGGGGGGGGGTTGGGGGGGGGGGAGACGAACAACAAAAAACAAAAACAAACCCGAAACACGTGTCTCCCATCTCTACTGTGCAGTTTTCCAGCCAGTGCACTTTGCTTGGACCTTTTGTATTTTTTCAGTCTCTGGTCTTTCTTTCCACTTTCTCTCTTCCTTAATGATTACTACTACTAAGGTCTTGCCACATTGAAACAAAGCCTTTCAGGGAAAGGGGCAAACTTTCAGCAGGTACTTCACTAACAAATAAGACACTTTAAAAGCTACAGTAACAATAAAGTTACTAGATCAACTGCCTGCAACTGAAAGCGGACTACCTCTCAAAAGACAGCAGGAACACATGGAACATCACCATGTCCGTGTAAGTTGGACAAGTTGCAGTGATTGCTAGTCAAGTTACTTTAAGCGCTACTGTCTTCCTGGTGCGAGATGAGAAAAAGGAAGCACCGTTTATGGTCCTCCCGAGCCAACACAAGACACTCTGGCACTTCAAGTTTTACTGTGGCCAAATACCAATTCCCAGGCTGCTGTGCAGACAAGAACCAAGCCGCGAGAATATACATACCATTTTTCTCATGTATTTGTACTAGTGACTTATAGGACTGCTGTGCTCTTGCTAGATTATATTGGTTCTGAAAGGAGAAAAAACTAACATGAAAAAAACTGTATCTAGACATGCGGAACTTAAAAACAGTTTTACGAAGAAACTCTACAGTGGGCTTACAAATAAAAACCATGCACGATGTTACAACATTCCTGGCTTTAAAGTACAAGATTTTCAAGACAAATACCCTTATCTTCTCATTTCTCCTCCATCATAGTGACAATAATTTGTACACCCCTGCTGCTGGAAAGGCCCCTCTATTGGAGGGCTCAGAACCTGAAGTACGTCAAAAGCGTGTGCAACTGGAAGGGCAGGCTTCAGGCGATCCCCACCGTAACTCCGGCTTGCTCAGCTGACCAGTTACCGTGTTCGACAGAACTGCGGTCATAAACTTTTACACCTTACCCAGTTCACTATCCTTGAATCAGTACTTAAAAGCTGGCATCCAAGTGAGAATTTCATCGACTTAAATATTTAAGCATCCTTTGAAAACAGCATGTAGTACTTCAAAGTCTTTGAAGTTGTGGTCCATCACCAGCATGCACACTTGAACTGAATTATGATTTCGATTAATGCTGAATGGCTAGCTCAGAAGTATTTGCATGGTATTATTTTTCACCCTCTCATGAAACTTTGCAGGTGTCTGGTCCAGCAAAAGGAGGAGAACTTCCGAACATCGGCGTACGCGATCCAGGCAGTCGGGCTGTCATCTACAGCCCTTCTCAGAGCCGGAATTTCCAAATCCTCCTGATTCCCAGTTCTGAATCCTCCTTCCCTTCCCCCCTTGCCAATACGGGGATAGTACAAGTCCAACTACTTACACACCCTGCCCATCCCAAGGTTTCATCCTCCTCATACATTCATCATTTCTTAACAAAGTCATAGTTAACTGCCAGTAAAATACTCACACGTGCACCAGACATCAAGATAAATCAAAACGCACATATATTTGCAAGGACAATTCTGTCATTCAGCATCTTCTATGCAACTCAGCGAAGAAATGGAAGCCTAACAGTGATTTGTGTAATTGATACACACAGCGCATTTACCTTATTGGCTCCAAAGTGTACTCTGGCTTTTCCTTTGACTAAAGTGGCATTGATCTGCATGATGACTGATTCTATTGAATAGGCACTGCTCCAGCCCTGGAGGAGGAAAGAAATATTTCTATATAACATGTACTTACTTCTTGTGCTCACCTTGCAAATCTATTTTGAAATGTGTGCTTTGGGATTCCCCCCCCCGCTCCAGTTTTAGTTTTAACTACTTGTTTTCAGTTAACAGCTTTTATTTTCCAGAGAAAATCTGGGAAGTGATATACAGTATTAGTACTAAGGACCTGTAGGAAAAATGAAAAGGCTGAATCACACATTTCCAAAATACAGCAAGACAGAAACAAGAAGAGCTCCATTATTACACCATTTACACATTTTCAGCAACGTCACAAAAGAAATTACAACTTCTTGTTGGAAGAAGCAGAAGAGACTGCTATCTAATGAAGCCATTGAGTGAGCTATGACAATTTCGCTCCCATGAAAATTACTGCTTCTCTCTGGCATTGCTTTACCTTCCAGGGGTCACAAAAGTTTCTGCCAGAGCCTGCAAATAAGTTACTTCATTCATTTACTTTCTTTAAAGAGAAAACCGATCACTCTGTCTACACGAGAGTCATCTATGCCTAGAATCTTCTGCATTCCTCACTTCTCCAGAGCTGACTTCGTGCAGTAGCAGAGGCTTCTGGAAAAGAAAACAACGCCTCTTGCTCCTCAGAACTCACTCTTTACACTGGCTTCCTCCCAGAAATTCTGAGGATTCAAAATTGATGCACTCTCACTTCTTGCCTCTTCCTCAGACCTCTTGTAAGCCATCCAAGGCAGAAAAGATGATCTTACACAAGATCAGCAAGGCAAATCTTGTGGAACTGAGGTTTATTCCACCATGTTCCCTTTGGAGCGAGTAACTTATTCCACACAGTGATTCTTCAACTCAGGGGAAACACCCATTGTCATTATTTTAAAGCATGCTTTGTTATCACCCAGATAACAGAGTCTGTGTTCACCTGTTTAGTAAGAAGTTCCATGCATAATGCACCTCCACCTAGGACATACCTAGAAACAAATGTGAAAGAAAATATATCCGACATCAGCAGTTAGTAAAAAGATGAAACTGTTCACAGCACTTTAAAGCTCTTGCAGGCTAGTTTGTTAAATTTTTTATTCACATAAAGCTGAAATGCCCTTTAACCAGTAATATATTGTAACTAGTTAGCCATATTATACTTATGCAAAGAAGATTAGCATTGTGAGACACCCCCCAAAAAAAATTCCTTTGCTAACTACACTTAGTTAAAGCTACGACTAGTTGTGCAGACTAGCTTGGGCTAGTCTGCAAAACTGCTTACAGACCATGAAAAAAGGAAGGTTGCTTTTTACGGCTACACTATGTATATGTAGTACTGATGTGTAGTTATAAAGAAAAACAAAAAACAGACCAAATTCACTTCTGTACAGAGATTTAACACAATTCCAAACACTGTAGGTGCACCTATAAATCAAAGGTGTAGACAAATGAGATCAAGCAGATCTTCACTCGCTCTTTTCCTATAAACCACTTTCTAATTTCAGTTAAGACTTCATCATGCATTGCGCTGACTGGGACTCAGCAGTCAGCCGCCTGATCATCGCAAAACCTGGACTGAGGGAGTTTACCACTGGAATTTACCACTCCAAAAACGTAGTCTCCCCTATGATCAAGATGTTCAAACAACGTAGATCTGTATGACATTCACAGGGAAACGATCACTGAAATCCAAACTTTCTGGGCCATTCTTTCTTTCATTCTACAAAGAAGTCCAAGTACAACAAAACCAGAACCTAAATGAGTTTTCTGGTGTCTGGCACTGCTTGTTTACTTTTTTGGTAGCAGCAACCCTCATGAACACTCTTTAACTGCACTAACCATTTCTTGAATGCAAAAAAGACACATAGCAATTAAAATCAAATCAGAATCAGCCCCAGCTATCACAGACTGCATTTTTCCAACGTACAAGTATAATTTCCTGTCAGCAGGAGACGCATAAAAGCCTTAGAAGGTGAATTTCATCTTCTCTCCGTTGATATACACAAGTTTCCACTCCACAGACAGCACTTCAAACAAGTTTTAGATGACTTTTGGAGCATGGTGTCAATTAAATTTAGTACCTTTGGGTTAGCATTTGAGGAGATTTTAGACAAACACTTTATAGCAGTGTTACCAGCAAAAGAGTCAGTTAAGACTGAACAGCAAGTTTAAGGCAACACAGGGATCAAGACCCTTCAAAGCACTAACTCAAAACACCCTACTATTCTGAACAACAGGAGAAGTAACAGCGATGTGAACCATGCACAAAGAGGCCAACTCTTCAACGTTACGGCAGGCACAGAGTCTTCCAAAGCTAGACACACTAAGCAATTCAAAGAGGAATTGCATCTGGCTGGAATACGCACCCAGCCATTTGGCTCCTATTGGTTCATGAAGCTTAAGAAGCAAGTCTCCATATCACTCTGAGCTCTTCACCAAACTCAAGGTCTACAGCAGCTCATGAATATACATTTAGGGGAAATTTCTTGAAGTCTACATATACGGTAGTCTCAAAATGTTCCCTGCAAACCCAGTCAACCAATCTCAAGTTGTAACATTTTCACCACAAAGTAAAATTTCTGCAAAGCAACTCAAACTTACCCTCCTGTGAGCACAGGAGATACCACTCGCACAAAGGGAGGATCGAAAGGGAAGTTATCCTGAAAAGCATAACAAAAAACAGGTTAAGAACAATACTGTGACAGTATTTTCCTAACCAGGAAGTATTTCGATAGCCTTATTTGGCAAATCCGATTTAAAGCAGTAACATTTTTCAGTTCTGTAAAAGTCACGTTTCCACAGTAGTGGCTCAAAAGCAATCTGTGGGAAGCTTTAGTGCCACACTTAAAGTTGCACTTTTTTCTTCCATCTTTACCCAAGTAACAGCTGAGGGTCATTTCAGTCACTTTCTACGGTAAGCAACAAACTTAACCCCAGCACTTCTTCCCAGAGACACATACCTTAAAAGAGAAGTTGAGTAAAATGTATTCTACACCTTCTTTTTCTTTTAAGACCTGAAGATCACTATGCAGTGGGCTATCAGGATCAACTCTATAAAAGAAGCAGGGGGGAGATCCTGGATGAAGTTAATATTTTCACTACCTGTAAACAGTAATTATTCTTAAAGAGCTCCTTTATGTATTTGTAGTTTACAAACTGTAATTCGAAGGGAACTGTAGAAAACTCTTGCTCCCTTTACAAAGTAAACACTTTGCCATGAGATCAGCGTGAAAGCTTGCTGCAATGCACTACATTCCCAAGCTATCAAGTGTTATTTGAACATAGTTAGCACAAAATAACCTGTTTATTTGAAAACAGCAATTTCAATTCTCTCCAGTTCACTGGAAACGTATGTCTCAAGGCAGGGGAAGAAAAAAAAAAAAGATTTTAACAGGAAGACTGTAGCGATCTAGTTTTCGGTACGCAGTTACTGAATCCTTTATGGAATATGTGATCACAGTTCTGTGTCAGCTGTTAAAAGTAATCTGCATCAGCAGAAGTACTAAAGCCAGCAGCTTCTGCTCAGCAGAATTTCAACAATTGTTTGTTGCAAAATGCTGGTGGTGAGCAGCCTAGACATTAAGTCAGACAGTACAGGGTTAATCCCACCCAGGCTCTGACGCCCCAGCAGCTTTTAAAAGAGACTAGGCAAAAAAATGCCTGCAGCAAGCCAAATGCAGATGTTAAACAAAATGATGGGCTATTAAAATCCAATCCTTTGCTGCAGGTGAAACCACAAACTTCTTAGATCTCATTTCAGAATTACTTGGGTAGTTTGTCCCCATCCTACCAACAGGAAGCTGTTTCAGAAGAAAATCTCCCAATGCTTAGAAACCTATCACTTCCAGCCTAGCTTGTACTAGGCCAGTTCAGAGTTACTCGTTCTAGTAACAATACTGTTCCTTAGGCAGATGGGCTCTTTTCTCTGACCTTTACCCCCTCAACTAGTCTGCACACAGTTCATTTGTTTTCAGATACTTTTTGCTGGGATAAACAAACACAATACTTCTTATCTTCTCTTAGTCATTCTGGAAGCCATTTGCTGCATGCGCTCTATTTTCTCTTTCTTGAAGGCAGAAAATCAGACCTGTTCACAGCACTTGAAGAGAGGTTTCAAATCACTGCACAGTGGTTTGAGCACTCTGTTACAGAAGCGCTCGACAGACAAGGCCTCCTGTAATATGGCACAGATTTTTCTGACATATGTCATTCCTGCCATTTTCAGCTTCAAAACGTTCACGTGCCTACAATTACACTAAGGAGGAAACAAAACTGTATTTCAGCAGCTGGTGACACAGTCGTAGAAGTCTTGCCACTAGGACAAGGCAACAATTCCTACGGGCAGGTCAACTACTGTGTTGAAACAGCTTACATCCTTACACTTATTCACCATGACATATCTGAACTGATGGAAGTTCCTTCATCTCTTGCAGCCATCCAGCCTAGTTTGGATAGGCTTTTCCTTCCCATGGGTTATCTTGTAGGACGATGGCAGATGATCCCATTACCAGGAATAATTTCAATATAATACCTCCAGAATTAAAGTTTTTGGACTATGGACACAAGATGAGTTACCATCTGGTACACACAGTGAAAAGCAGTACATAAGAGAAGACAAGTTATGTAATTATATGTCATAATTGTGTTATATCTAAAAGTTTCAGTCCTACGTGTCTGCTCAACTGTAGAAATAAAGAACTAATGACACTAAGACAGTTCTGTTCCTTCTTACATCTAGAATGAAACTAGAAGTTGCATTTTCTTGAAATAAACAAACAAACAAAACCAAACTAAAACCATCCAGACAAAAACTCTAGACAAAAAATTTCATCATTTAAGGTTTCACATTGTGGAGTAGTTTCGGAAAGAGAATTGAACAGTAATGAAAGTTATGGTACTGCACACTGTGTTGGCTGTGCAAAGAGTTTGGAGTTTTTGCCGGCTCAATTACTACAGTTCAATCTCTGTACACATTTCTGTATACCAGAATTGTAGCCACCACACGCTATTTTATATGCTCTGGCTAGGGATTCTCATTCATCAAAAGTAAGAATCTCTGCAGCAATAATAAAATGAATGAAAAAACTTTAATAACTTACTTTAGAAGTTTAACGTGCCATTCATACAAGCTGTCATTTACCAGTTCCACTGAATATATCCCTGTAGAAATATTAGATAGAATTAATTATGCACTAAAAGTTTAACAAGGTAAGATTTAGCAAAAACATTCCTTGCTTTTAAGTACAAGTACTGTCAATAGATGTAAGCAATAGATAAGATACTGAGATACTGATACTGAGGGACATCCTTCCTCCAACAGCAGAAGCACTTCTGAGCAACTACAAGGAAGAAAAGTTCTTTCACTTCTATAAAAAAAAATTCCACACGAATCAAAACGTTCTTCTGATACCTAACTTTTTCTCCCCTCCCAGTTCCCCTTCAAACTTTCCACAGCTACAATTCCAGCTTGCTTAGTACTCAGTATATTTTATACCCAGTACACGACCAACACACTTTTAAAACACTTAACACACGGTCTGAGTATGCAGCATTGTATTTCACAGGTTCTCGTCAGTATTGGCAGACCAGGACAGGACACCGGACAGTGTAGGGAGTAGAAACCCAAAAAAAGAAGATACTGCATTGGATGAAGCACATTCCTAACAGCTGACCAAAGAAGTCAGAAAGATGCATCAAAAAAATAGCTGTCTCTGGAAGCCAGATGGTGATTTTCAGCGGTTCATTTGTTTTAAGCATGTTAAACAATAGTTATGCATTTCACTCAAAGGGAAGGATGAAAGGTTATCTGCCATTTTCTTGTATATTCAAGCTTCCTCTCTGTAGAAGTTCACACGCAGCCCAGGAAAAAGCAATAAATCTTTAACCACCAGACAAGATTTAGAAAATGGTATCAGTGATGTTCAAAAGTCTAATCTCTTTCGCCACAGACTATTCATGCATATATACTAAACAACTATGATTAAACTTGTTACCAGAGCTAATATTTAATGGCATATCTATTGCTGATATAATTATTTGGAAGACGTATGCAAATCAGGAATCCGCCTAGGATTTCTGAAGGCTATACAAACAATAGACTGCAGTCACCACATTCTCTCCAAGGAATTACGGTATTCATCTCCGGGTTTTATTATTCTAGAATACATTACCTTGCAGTTAAAACTTTTAAGCGTTAATACTCAGAGTACAGATAACATTTCAAACTGTCCAGACACCTTTATTTCTAAAGCATTCCAAAACTCCGTAAACAAGGTAAAGAAACCGTGCTTGCTTCTCCTTACCGCAGTGCCACAAACAAGTGGGTACTGCAGCCAAGATCATGATTTCAAATTTTTCTAAGTCTAGGACAACAAAGTAGGTCTGAAAACTTACACACTGTGCTCTCAATGTCCCTTTTAATCAGCAGCTAGTTCAGAGATGCCACACTTTTCTGTTCAAGGATGAACAGAAGGAGCTATTAAGGCCTTTTTCCAATTTCCCAGATCCAAGGACGCTATTTTCTGAATTGCCCTTAGTATAAGTGGAAGTCATGAAGTGTAAGAATTTCAATCTGTACTGCTCTGATGTCAACAAAAGAGTTGACGTTCAGAACTCTGCTCATTGTCAACTCCCATTAATGATTAATCTGTTCCACCGCTGTATCCAGAATATTGTCTTCCACCTACAACCAAAAGGGAGTGAAGACTGGAAGAAGCAGCCTCTCAGTATTACGGTTTTGGCATCTAGCATGAGTATAAATACTTGTTATAGACAACAGAACAAGTTACGGTAAGGATTCTGATAATATCCTAAATAATGGAAGATCACAAGAGAACTTCCATCAGCTTGTTTATTCACTAAGCCTCTAGCCCTGTTCCTGCATTCCTTCCACCACCCTAAAAGTCCTGCTCTTACCCTGAATTCACGTACCAGTCCTTCACCTTCAGCTCCATGGGTTACCAAGGTCCACGTGTTTTGCTAGCTCCCCCAAAGGAATAACTTTTGCTGGCCTTAAGAGCTGTACTGTACCTAAACCAGAAGCTGCAACAGGGTTCTTCAGAGAGATGCGCACAGTTCAGGACTGACAAGAATGTGCCTTAACAGAACAGGAAGCTACTTAATCAACCTTTCAAGCACACAGATTTTGAGCTGAATAGTATCTGTACGTCCTCATGAACAGAAGCAGCATCAGGGTTGCTTGCTGTCTTGGTACAGAAGCTTCTTAACAACACTATCCAGAGTTGAGGGCGGGTTGTTTGTTTTTTTTAATAGTCAAGAGGTGTTATTTGGAACCAGCTCCTATGCTTTTTTCTTAAGCTAGGCAGTAAGATGAAAGAGGGTTACTGTCAAGAATAATTTATCTGATTAGTACCAGTTTCCAAGAGGTCCTTAAGGTAGGGAAGGGAGTCAAGGTAGATTCCCCTCACTTAAGACACAGGAAGTTTTGTGTCCTATTCCTCTAAAAGGCCATCCATAGAGGTGATGAAGTAAAAGCAAGCACACAGAACCATGAAGCAAGCAAAAAATTGAGAGATGAACAGGTCGGAAGAAAAACAACCCATTCCAAAACAGAGGCAATGTCTTACTTATAGCAACTTTACTACAACTAGAAGTAAACCCCATACAGTCTTTGGAGAAAAGCAGTAAGTTGAAGTCACTATATATGAACAACACAGCCGCTAAAGATATGAACAGAAAAGATTTCATTTAATATCCCCAAATTCTTTGTTCCTCCCCCTCCCTCCCTCCCCCCCCATATTATGTTAAGACCTTTGTGAATTCTTCTGTATCTAACCAAATCTCCAACTTCATATTTGGAAATGAGATCATCTTAGTTTGGAGGACTTGTGGGTCCTATTATCAAAACACGTTAATGAAACTTTGTTTAATTTATAGCAGAATATCTTAATTTGCTGGAATAATTTTTGCTTCCGTTAGCTCATAAGAAAATGGTTTTCTGTTTGTTTTTAAGGGTAGTTCTTCACCTAGATTTTTATTGTAGATAAGCAACTTTCCTGTTGACAGCAAGCTTGTAGTCATCTTTTGCTTGAACTCCAACAGTAGTATCTCAATCACTAAAGGAACTTCAGCTCTAAAATGGATACTAGCTTTTATACCCATAGTTGAAGTCCTGACAGTGTTTTTTAATAAAACAATTTAACAGAAAAGAAAAAAATTAAAGGACTATTACTACAAGTATTATTCATTTCATAAGTCCCAGCGTTGTCCTGTTGTCAATCCTGAAAACATGTAACCTCACATACGCTAAATAAAGTGATTCTAATGTAACCAAAAAGCAGCCTTAGATTTTCTGGTTTATATTACAAAGAATGAAAACAGTGTTAAATTACCTTGCAACAGTTACCAGAACCTTTAAGTTTCACAGTGGTTCCCTTTGTGCGTTAATAGCAAGAAACTAAATAATGGACCATGGAGCAATGGACCACTCAGAACAAAGATCACATTAAAAAAAAAAGTGTCAATTATCTACCATGCCCCTGCTCACATGGTGACAGTTATCTAACAACAAAAGACAGAACTAGGCTGTAAAAGCAGGAGTTTTGTGCAAAGGAGACGAACCGATACTTAAATTCACGCAAGTCCTAAGACTAAATGAAGCCATAAGGAAGGAATCCATGCAAGTTTTATAACAAACAGCATCATTTACTGGCAAAATTTAATAAATGTATCAGTAGGATGGTGTTTCAAAGCAGGATTGCCATCAGTTTTATAGCGTCAACCTCCACTTGACACTTCACTTCATTAACATGTTTTAGAGATCGAGACGAGGCATCCAGTTGCAGTCTTTTTACATATTCCTGAGTCATAAGCTAATACTAAGTTACTATACTCACCCCTTAGCATCTCAACTTTCTTTACAGTTTAGCAAGATTTACTTTTCCTCATCATTTAGAGTACGCTTTCCAACATCAGGAGTTCAGTCTTTTGCAACTGGTTAAGACTCATTATTACTCTAAAGCCAAGAAATGGCATTATTAAGCAACCCAAATCCTCACCTCAAACTACACCTATTATAGGGGCTCCTGGTTGTGCCTCCAGCAGTACCACTATGTGATTAAGCACCATACAGTCTTTATAGTCAAACAGATTTGTTATATCCAATCTTTGTTCTAACCACAAAAACAAACCCTGAAGATCATACATGGGCAGTAAAGCATCCCTCGTGACTTAATACAGATCTATTTCTAGGCTCTTCCTTAGACTCACTAATCCGTTCTTTACTGGATAGATGGTGATTATGACATACGGGCAAGCACTCAGTTGCAATAAAGCCTAAAAGAAGTAGGCTACATTAGATCAACGCTAGGTTACCCAATCACATTTATACTTCAGACTTTTTACCACTGTCCACAGTACTTCAGCATGTAAAACTATTTACCTAAAAGGCAAATCAGAACAGGAGCCTATTGCCTCTTCAACTCTGTCCTTTTAACACAAATTAAAATGCCATAGCCACCAAGCGAGATTTAAGCCCACTAGAAATAAATGAGGGGAGAAGTTCAGAAAAGTAAAAGATGGAGGATTAAAGTTTAGACTGACTTTCTAATCGTGCATTCCTCCTGTTCCCATCCTGGCCTGCACCAGGTTCTCATACCTGGCTGCAGTGATGGAGTTGTCTACTCAGCTGACCCACAGGAATACAACTTGCCTGAAATCTATGTAATTTCTACTTCTTGTATGAGAACACTCAGACAATTCAATATACTGATTCTTTTGCTGAGCTATTTTAGATACAGCCCTTACATGGAGCAAACAAAACAGTCAACCACCCACCTACCTAAAGCTAATCAGTGTTTGTTATTCAAACAAATTTAAAAGACAAGCTTGTTTTCTCTTGCCATTTGTATCTTCATTCCAAGGGATACACAGAGCTCAGGATCAGATTAACACCATCACAAAATAATAAAAGTAACAGCAGTGTAATTACAGTTAAATCCTGTACAATAACAAAACCTTCTGCCGTCGAACACAAATCCCTCTACAGCAAGCATATTCTTGTGAGCAGTACTACCCACTGGTAGTGGTCAAAGCTTTTGCCCTATATACCCGGAGAGCTGAATTTCAGGTAGTTCTGAAAACTCAAGAAGTCCCACAGGAGTAATCTTGAGTTGTTCTTTGTTGTCATCCACCCCAAGAGCATTCTCAGAGTTACACCAATCCTGCTAATTCTCGTATGAAGCTTTGCATAACAAAAAGGAAGAACGTTTTAGAGGATATGTATCCCAACTTCCTTTTTCTCCACAAATACACTGTTTTATATAATGAGATTATATATAATGTATCTATGTATTTTTATATATATGTGCACACATATATACACATACACACACATGTATATACATACGTATGACAACAAAACACAGAAGGATTAGCAGGAAGTATTTGTCAAGAGAATTCTTTTAAAGTGTATTTTAAGAAGGGAAATCTGAAGCATTTTACCTGTTTTATAACTCTGTGATCTATATATATCCCTGAGTTCTTTCATAAGTCGATCTGAAGCCTGAACTGACCCAGAGACTGCACCCTGAAACAAACAAAAAAGACTCCAAATAAGTGAAAAGTAATACTTACATCAAACAGCTTTATTTCCATTACAAAGTTACACTAACTAGAAGGCATTAAGAATATACTAATTTCTGTATTAGGATTAGTTTTTTTAAAAGTTACATATTCTAGTGAGCGGAGACTACTCAAAAGAAACAAGACACTCCCTCTAAAGCAGCACATTAATATATACTACTACATGGTATAGGTGATACAAACTTTTAATCAAGGTACAACAAGACATATTTTTCTGTAAAAGAGTTTAATCTCTTCGGCATGTGATTTCCAAGATGGATCCACAGTACATTTCTAATAGGGAAATATTTCCTTTTACCTTCTGCTCTCATGCACTGGAAGGAAGAGTTAAGACTAATCCTAAGAACAAGCTTCTGCACATAAGGTTTTGCTGTTTTCTCAGAAGTATATTTTTATTTGGTTATGAAAAAAGGTACAGGAGTTGGGAAGCATTGACTATAGAGAACACCAGCTTCTGGATGAAGTAAGACCAACCAATATACTTACAATACGCAGAACAAAAGCAACACTATTATTTGCAATAGTGTGAAAAAATCAGCACCTACACAGAGGAAGACTAAGGTAAGTAAACCTTAAAATACAAAATATTTTGTTGTGATTTGTCATAGTTCTTGTTGTTTATACAACCAGGGCAGAAATCTCTCCTGTTCTTTTAGAGCTCAGTTCTGTATTACTCAGCATCCCAAAGTGATAGAAAACTTAGCATACAATTTCTGAACCTGATATTTCAGCCTGAGATACAGTGCTAAGGCAAAAAAGACAAACAAAAAAAAAGAGACCTTTAAGTGACATGCATATAAATATGACTGGCTCTAGAAACCACCAGTTATTGACAAACTAATGAACACACCGGTTGTCAAGTAACTGATGTCTACTTACATCCAGTGCAGCAGTTGTTGATATATTCTGCACACATCCCCAACGCTGACAGTTCTATGACCTTGGTATTAACTTTTGTCTCAATTTTCTGAGCTTAAAGTGAGACAGAACTCACAGACAGTTTTTCCTCTTACAAAATTAAAGTGCTTTTTAGAATAACATGATCACCAAAAGTACCTAGATTACTTTCTCCAATTGAGTGCCAAAGCTAGCAGGAAAGGTTTTGATACTAAACCTTAAATGTTACATGATTACACTGCTTCTATATTCCACCCGAAATACCATTTTACATTCAAGATTTTTGGAAAACAGAGATATAAAAATTAGTGTTACAAGATATAAAATATGAAAAAGGAATGAGGACTCTGAATGAGGTAAGGTGGCTATCACCTTGATCCCCAACCCTGTGAAACTTTGGCTTTCGCCGGCAGTCAGTTTCCCAAAGGTAGATTATTTCATGAGACCCATGCAGTTCTCTGCTGCTGCTTGGACTTCAGTCACTCCCACTGAAATACAGGCTAATACATGTGGCTCATAAACATGCTTTCAGGAGGAAAAAAAAAGAAAAAAACCATCACCAAACACAAAAAAAAACCCCACATAGAATAAAGTTAGGTTCAGCCTCTCTATATGAAGTACTGAATGATTAGTTTACGGGTCTGTTTTTCTACTCCATCTAAAAATTTGAAGAGATTTGTTTCTTCAGTTTCCTTTCAGACACTACAAACATCTACAAACAGATCCTTTTTGCATAGAAGTGTCAGAGAAGTATTTCTGGAGGAATCTGAAGCAGCTATGACCATTGTCTAATACCTGAAACGTCATCTCTGCTTGCCTGAAGTCAACAGTGATATTATACATTCTACAAGGTCTTAACTGTAGGATCAAATTAATTCTTAATAAGGATTAAATATCAGTAATAGTTACTTGATGCTAAAGCCTCCACATACTCCTTTGTCTTATCTGTTCAGTAGCATCATATAATATGCTTAGCTTCACACTATAATCTGTAGAGTATTCTTTTAGGCTATTCATTTTCATATTCCACTGGATTTTATTATGTAGATTACTGAAATTCCACTAGTTTTTCTTAACGGACCGGTATGAAGAATGAACTTTGTAATTAAATACACAAATGAAAGGCAACTTCCTTTCATCTGATTAAACAAAAGCTACATAAAGACAGGGCTCCAGACAAGTCATTTCTCAGTTTACTGAAGCCCCCATCTATAGAGCAGTATCAAACAAAGAAGGGATTTCTCTTCCTTTAACAGCAAGCGAATGAAGTTTTATGGGAAAAAAATGGTTGTTAATATGTTATTTCCAGATTACTATTATTTATACCCACTATTTGCAAACTAGCTGAAAAAGGAAGCATTGCACTTAACAAGTTAACACAACACAGTGTTAACCACCATTCTCTGTAAAATTGCTGTGCTTTTTCAGACCTCTACTGAGTGTTAAGGTTGAGACTCATGAATGTGTTGAGTCCGGAGGAAAGAAACTCCATAGAGAAGTGTCAAGATTTTGGCTCTCTTCTGTGCAGAGCTGTGCAGTATCCTTGCCTCATCTGCTGTAGTGCTTACTGAAAGAAGGAATTGTCTTACATTTTTCACAGAATATCAACCTCTAAATACAGGCAATTTAAAACCAACTTAGATTCTCAAAGACATCCTGCGGAAAACTAGTGTCCTCGTTGCATCTTTATTTCCATCAAATTAAGCTACTGAATTTCTGTACATAATGTTGGAAGCTCACCTTTACATATGAAAATTTAAGTATCTTCTGTACTGTACCAATTTAAAAACCAAAACTTAACACACCCACATACTCCTGAGTGCCATTATAACGGCTGATAAACTGAAGTGGTATTTAAAAAAAAAAAAAAGGTTAATTTTAGTGTGTGTAAGCTAGCCCCAGTAGACTTTGTCTACAACAGTGTTTTTTACCCTGTCTTCCCAGGAGTTTCTAGTTGGGCTGCCCACTCCTTATATAGCAGTATTAAATATAGTTACACTTGCTACTCTAAAGAATCAATAGACTGCAAACCAGTAATCTATGATTAAGAGAAAGAGGCTAGCCAGCCTAACCTAAGTAGTTTAGTACAGGAGCTTACTTTACATGCTCTGAACTACCCTTGGAAGAAGTTGACGAGGAGGCTGCAGAGATTAACTGCTATACCTGATGGTAACCTTAGTGCCAAACACCACTGCTTTGAAACACAAAGTCTTCATTCTGGTGTCACTTTTGTGTTACATAACTACTGTGAAAGTGCAGTTTAGAAGAGAGTACTACTTGCATCACACCATTGTGTGATATAGTAGAGCAGCGAGTTCAGTTTCGACTATAATGGTACTAAAATTAAAAACTTTCACTTTCAATAACTCGCTATATACAAGTTATAATTTCAGAGACTGAATTCAGATATAAATAACTGAGTATCCTTCTGGAAAAGTGGGACTTACCACTCCAAGGGAGATAAAGCTCCCATTTCTCCAGTTGTGAGATCAAGACTTATAGTCGCAACTGCCTTAGAAATAACTGGTAAACCATGGGATCTGACAGGTATCTGTCACGTGGGGTTGATGCCAAGAGCCGAAAGGCATAGGCATTTGATCTGTAAACTGAAGAAGTTAAAAGAGCTGCCAGACAAGCCCCAAGTGACTTTTTTCCTATTAAGTAATCGAATAGGCACAAAAAGTCTCACTTGATCAATCTCTCCCGTACACACATACTTGTGGTTCTCCAGAACAATGAGCAGTTAAGCTGGAGAAATCCCTGCTACAGGAGGTAAACATTTACATGGACAACATGCCATTTGCTGAGCTGCAAATAACAGAAACACCTGGTACAGGAATTCCCACAGCCAAAACCGTTGGACATGAAAAATATTCATGAGACACATCACTACAAGCCTGTCCTGTTCTCAAACTCTTCCCTTGAAGGATGTGCTTCTGCCACTGCCAGAAACGTGAAACTTTGGTCCAAGTCAGTATAGGCATTATATTTTTCAGAAGTGTTTCTATCCTTAATTAGTATTTTAGTGTGCATGTATAAATTTGAGTAAAATACTTTATAGAACAGTTAAGCAACTTCTGAAGTCCTAGTTTTCTTAGAACTTCTGCATTCGCAAGTCAGTAGGGCACACCTAACCATGCAGAAATCAGCACAGCACATGCCACTGCTGTAGCTGTCTGCTGCACTAAGTCTCCAGAGACATGAGGTTTTTGCAGCCTTAGCTTTTCTCCTTCGGATATTTTCTTTTCCCCTTACATCCCTCAAACACAACTACATCCCACTCCTTAAATGAGTCATCTGAGGTAGGAGGTGCAGTTCACTGCAGTTTTAAATCCAAAGACTGGATTGTCTGGTTTCCGTCTGATCAGAAAAACACCATCACACATCAAAACAGTACAGTAAATGACCTCACTCACAATACGTTTCAGATAATTCAGCCACAAGACTAAAAATGACCTGCTAAAACAAAACACAAAAAATTCAAACTCCTCCGAGATAATAAAATAAAATCTGAAGTGACCCAAAAAGAGCTAAAGAATACAAGTTTGCTCTATTGTCACTGAACATTCCCAGTATTTGTGCCGAAGTACATTAATTCCTGGAAGTTAAAGTAAATTCATACTTAACCTTAAGGATTAGAGTGAAAATGGAAATGACACCTTAGACTTCATAAAATCTGAAGATGAAAGTGGAGACATTTGAGACTTCTAAAGGAAAGTGCATAAACTCCTCAGTAGGAAATGGAAAAAGCTAATAGTATTATCTAAATAAGAAAAGCATTAATCTGTAAAATGACTATGTGGGGAGAGACCTCTCAAAAGCAAGCAGCAGCAAGTTGTTAAATATTTGAAGTTAATGATTCCAGTTCAAAAACCCTTTTTATTCCCAGTAAGCAAGTGGTTCTTTAAAGTTATTACAATGTTAAGAGGAGGATTAATTCTTGCTCCAAGTTACATACCGTACCGCAAGCCAAATTTAAGTTTATTTCCTGATGCCAGCAAGAAGAATAGGATTAGGGATACTGCCGAGGAAGAGAACTAGTTTACAAAATTAGTAGATACATGTTCTTAACTTGTATAAAACACACAAACCCTAAAAACTCCTATGACAAAAGTCTTGAGCAGCAGAAAAATGTCTTTAACCTGTTAACAATATGTGAGAACGGGACTGCATGCACTCCTTTCCTATGGAAAAACCTTTAGCATGATCCATAACTTCAACCTGCATTTCAGCCAAGGGGAGAGAGAGGATGACCCGTGGATTTGGGCCAAAGAACATGTAAAGAAACAAAATTCTTCTGGTTGCATTGGGCACCAGTCAAAGCCCTACATTAGGCTTCACGTTCCCTCTTCCAACAACAAGCATGTAAACGGCATGGCTATATTTTACTTTCCTCTGCTGAGGAAACAAAGTATACCAAAAGAGCTGCATACTTTGTGTGAAAACCTGACTATGTTTAGCCATAACATTTAAGTTTGTGAAACTCACACTGTCCTTTAAGAAAACCCACTGTGAAGGGCTGTACAGATTTAAATTTTGCTTTATGTTAGGATACTGAGCAAAATTCTGCTATCTGAGAGCATGTTTAACATGTTCTATTAAAAGTCCCGTATTTTGGCAGCATAAAGGGGCCTTTAAGTGCTACTAGGTTAGCTCTTTCCTAGGTCAGTAGTGCAGCTATAGTTTTCAGTTCTCAAGCACTTAAGAGTAAACCCTCACAAGTCCTTTGAGAAATTATTTAAGCAGCGCAGCTATTCCTGGTGACCCACAAAAATACCACAGTTCCTCAGCAGCAGTTGAATACCCTGTTCCCTGTACTCAGCTGACCTTGTTTATGCACCAGCATCAACGAGAGTGTCTTGGCATGAGAAACAGCTATTATGTAAGTTGAATCTGCTGTTGTCAAACAAAAAAACAGCAGTGTTCATTTCGGCTCCACTAGATGTGGAAGGAAAAAGCAAAAAGAAAGGCAATATTTGCCAAATGGGAAAGAACAGATAGCAAAAGAAAATCTGCAGTTTTAAGAGGCTTTCCACACCAAGGAAGAACGTTGACACTACAAAAACCTTTTTTTCAGTTCTACCAAATTTTTAGATGACGGTAAAGCAGACCATGCCTTTCAGGCTGCAAGAGGATTTATTTTATTTAACAGTTAAGGAGTCTTTACCATTAGGTCCGAGTTATAAATACAGAAATACACAGGATCTCAACAGGCATCTTGTCAAACTCTGAACAAACAGTTAAGTTTAAACAAAACCAGTAAGTAATCATTGTGTTTATCGTTAGGCAAGTCTTAAAACAGACTTGACTATACAGCAAAAGCAGTTTGGCACCTTATGTTTACCTGCTTTTAAATACGGAAATGCTGATCAGGTTTTGGGGTTGCTTTGTTTGGTTGGTTTGGTTTGGTTGGGGGGTGGGGTGGGGGTTGGTTGGGGTTTTTTTTGGAAGGAGTGATCATTACCATACGCTTTCCTTCAGACAACCTGATAGGTAGCTATTGCATTCATACACAAATCAAGGAGCAGTCTCCTCTAGCCAGCTATCTCACACTGCCTATTTCAGCAGAATGTAAGTCTAAGGTATTTTTGACAGGTTTGCATTCAATTCATATTAGAACAGCACTGGGACAGGAGCAGAAGACTTGTAGTTGAAGAACTCCGATAAACGTGCTTCTATTTTATTTCCTTTGCAAAGCAGATGGCTACAAACTGAATCTCTTTCCCATGTTAAAGTGTCAGTAACTAAAAGGAAGTAGTTTAGAAAAAAAAACTTAAGTTACTTAGGGCCAGTAATTCATGACAAGAATAGTCAAGATTCTGCTAACTAAAGGAGCCTTTTCCCTAAATTCTTATGATCTGTCAGGAGTGCATCCAAAATTAAAAGTGGATTGGCTTGGCTAGCACTGAGCACTTTGAATGTATGTAGTTCTCGTTACAAATCAAAAGAGGTTTACAAAAGTTCTCTTGAATCTAATATAATTTTTAAGTGCAATTTAGGCTTTTTAGAAAATATTTACTGGAAAAATCATCAAGTATAAGAACTAGAACAAAGCTGGTTCCTTGGGCAAAAATCCAGGTGTTCCTTTAATACCAATCCTAAATCTTATTCCTTCCCTAAATACTTACAGGTTCCTCCCCTGTACCTAACTACTGCTCACATCCTCAACTATTAGCTTAATGAGAAATAGCACATCTTGTGTCTGGACATGATCTACATGTCTGCTGACTTGCCAAACAGCATATAAAAACTTACGAGCTCACACAGTAGAGGGCACCAATTTAAGCACCTTCTTTCTGTACAGGTGACTTATGAAAATTTTAGAACCCCTACCTTTGCCTGAAATTGGTCACAAACAGAAGTACTGAATTTCATACATTAGATATTTTAAGCCTCTGTGAAACAAAAGTTTTGATTTCTTTGGAAGCCAGGCTAAATAACATTAAGGTTGTATGACATCATCATTCCCTCCTACATTCACCTTTGAGAAGTAGAAGCTTCTCTGGAACTCTGCACTTGTGACAAAATGTTTCTAACCCTCTGGAGAACAAGCAGGTTTCTTTACAACTGCCTGCTGGCAGGATCACTCGGAAAACTGTGATAATAAAGCTGCAGAGCTGCTGAAGGCCCCTTGCTTTATGTTTGGCAAAGAAAAAAACCAAACCTTCAGTAATTTCCAAGTAAAATAGATATTACTGAAAAACAAGCTCATGCATAAAATGGATTTAAAGCACAAATTCCCGGGTTTACTAAGTATGTTATGTCACCCATGACTTAATTCAGTCAGTTTTATATATGGCTTTATTTGTTATTTTAATAAGGGCTCAGCAACAAAAGCCATTGTGCTGGTTTTGGCTGGGATAGAGTTAATTTTCTTCCCAGTAGCTAGTATGGGGCTGTGTTTTGGATTTGTGCTGGAAACAGTGTTGATAACACAGGGATGTTTTCGTTACTGCTGAGCAGTGCTGACACACAGTCAAGGCCTCTTCTGCCTCTGAATTCCTTGTTTTGCTTTGCTTGTGTGCGCAGCTTTTGCTTTACCTATTAAACTGTCTTTATCTCAACCCACAAGTTTTCTCACTTTTACCCTTCTAATTCTCTCCCCCATCCCACTGTGGGGGGGAGTGAGCGAGCAGCTGGGTGGTGCGTCATTGCCGGCTGGGGTTAAACCACAACGGTCATGCTTACAACCTAGATGCTTTCTGCTGATTCTGCAACGAGGACTATTGTTCATAACAAAGGCATCAAGCAAGAGACAGAGCGACAACCAAATAGATACCTCTGGAAATTAGACAACCAGTTAAATATCATTAACAAGTGTGAAACCTGGATTTACATCTAAGAGTTGACTCTAGTGAAAAGCTAAAAGATACTTCTTCATCCAAAATGCCAAGAATACCCCAATCCAGTTTGACAAAAGAAACTATGATAGCATTCTTCCAGGCTGAATGAGAGCGCTTTGAAGTAGTTTTTGTGCCTCTGTGGGATGCAGACTGACAACTAACTTCCTGTGCCAAAGATTTTGATGAAAGATTAGTCCATTTACTAAATGACCTTGGGAATTTTAGCTGGCCTATTCAAACTTCTCCAGAAAGAGCTATTTAGGTCCCATAACTTAAGACATTTGTCCCAAGTATGCTGGAAGTCAGCTACAGGTTAATTTATGTCTAGGTGCATAGCAGTAGGCTTTATTTGCTGAAAACCATTTCTATTTTAAAGCCAGAAGTATTGCAAAGAAAAAACACAAATCATTAACTCACATTTAAGTGATCTTGCCTTTGATTTTTTCTGATTTTTTCTAAGATTGCAAGGTTCTCTTTTTCAATGCCTTCATCCTCAGATTTCTTCCCGTCAACTGGTTCCTCCTCCTTCATATCATAGTGATCCAGATCTTCAATGTCCTACAGGATAGAGGAAAATTCACTGTAAATAACTTAACTATGCTCTTTGTTCAACGAAACCCTCTCCAAGGGCATTTAGGGATACAGTCACATACTGCACAGCACTATGTATTAGTGACTGTTGGATGCCATTTCTATTTTGCTCTAACCACCCTCTCAGGCAACAGTATTCACTGGAAGCGTAGGGAGCCTTCACCATACGAGACCCAAATTCACAACGGAATTCTGGTCACCGAAACAAGCACAATAAAACCTCTGCGAGAATTTAAGATTGTAGTGAATTACCCCATTAAAGTAGGTAGAAAACAGGAAGTTAAAGCATTTTGAACAGGGCTTGAGAATCCAAAAGTACCCAAAGTCAGGGTGTCTCCAAGATGTTTCTAAAAGCAGACTCTTTCTTCAATTAGAATCCCAGCTATATTACACTTCTGGCAAACAATGATTAACATATCTGGCAGGACTACAGCAATCCTTCAAGAAAGTTAAATATTAGAAAGCTACATGTACTTTATTCAAGGTGAACATTTCAGCTGAAGATTAGATGCAGCATGAGGATATGAGACAAAATTATGTGGTCAAATATCCTGATCACACGAGCCAACATTTAAGTTCTGAGTTCTAGACTAAGACACTGAGAAATCTTCCACTCTGTATTCTGAGATGGGGTTATCCTGTTGCAGATGAGCACTCTGAATTTAAGACAACTGCCTGTAAGGTGATTCAAGTGCTATTTGTGGAGAGGAGGGGAAGGATATAAATACCTTGAGATGAAAAAGGAAGCACTACAGCAGCCACACCAGCAAGCTACGAGTAAACAACTATCAGATATGCTGCAATACGCAGTGCTCCATCACACCTGTGGCTACTCTTTATGCACCATCTGTTGCATGGCAGGAAAACCTGGCCATAAATGCAAATTCACGGATGTCTTACATAGTAAGAAACACACCTATCAGGTGCCTTTGACAACACTGTTTCCTCAAACTGTAACAGATTTTACACTAAGTATTCTTTAAAATGTTCATGTTTCTCAAAATAATGATATAGCCTTAGGAACCCTAAGCCGCTTTTCAATTTAGAAATTGGACTAGATTACAAGCGCCACAAAATGCTACCTGACAGCTTATAAATAATGACAGACATGACAATTTTTTTGCCTAAAGTAACCCGAACAGAGTGCAAAAGTCTACTTACAAATCTGCAAGCAAAAAGAGCTTTGTGACAGCAGGATATGGGAGTGTACATACTACCTTTACAGAAACTCTGGCTCCAACAAATGTGGTCTGGATCAGGCTAAATATGGTGTAAGAGAGGCTGCTTCAAATTAATTCCAGAACATGGATTACATTTAGGTCTTTTCTAAAGGAAGATCTTCTATTCAAAGAATGAGTTGTTCGTTCTTACTACACACCTTCTTCATTAAAAATCTAAATCTGAAGTAGTCAGAACAGTTCTCCTATAGCAAAGCTATTTATAGTGGTTTAAAAAGCAAGCATCTTGGAGCTATTCTAACATGTTGTAGAAGTAATTGAAAGGGGTGGTTCTCACACAGTAAAAAGCTCATTAAAAGGAGCACCGTGCTGCCAGACAACGACATAAACCCCTTAAAGTTTAGCATGTCTGTTTCAGATGTCCTTCCACTTCCTTCAATGTATTATAGTTAAAAACTAGCTTGCCTGTTTAATAAATCAGCAAACTGATTTACTCTTAGTCAGTCTGCTTCAATTTGGGAGGCACTTTCTACTGTATCAGAGGCAGTTCATATGCTGCTTGAAACAGGAGTTAACTATGCAAACTTACTGATTTGGCACACAATGTTACATATTGTTTGACTAAAGCACAAAAGATGTCCAATCCTCTGTACCCAAGTACTTCACAGCTGAGATCTAAGTTTAAGAAGAAAATTTCACTGGTTTTGGTGGTTGAAGTGAAAGCTGATATTAAGGTAAATGTCCAAATTTTTAATTATCTTTTCTGTTGAACTCTAGGGAGATTACATTTTACAGTTTGGCTTAATAGTTAGCCAGCCATTGCACAGCAAAATGCCAGAGTTCTACTAGATGAGGATAACAATCTCATATATACACATACTTCACCCATATCTTCTTCTTCCTCCTCTTCTGATGTAACTTCTTCTGTTGTTCCATTCTGCAATACAACAATGAGGTTTCTGCATAAATTGTGCATATGTTCCTTTCTTTCAAAAACAGGAAGTTTACTATCAAAGAGAAATCAGTATATATGAAAGTTACACTTAGCAAGGTCTGCAAAGGACTGAAGTTTAATGTGAAAGATACACAAAGGTGCTTTCCTCGAGTATGACAGTGAAGAGATTTTTGCATAAAGCAAAGATAAACAGAATGTCACAATTAATTTCACATTAAGTTCTAAGTGGAAACTTAAGATTCAGATAAGGATATCCTATTCTGAGACAGTGACAAATGCAATAAACAAGCCAAGTGGATTATAACTCATGACCTCTTAACCAGGAAATCAGATCATGGCTCTGATTGGAATCCATATACATGCTAGACCTCTAAAAAGAAAAAAAAACAACAAACTTTAGACCTCTAAAACTTAATGGATTTTTGTCTCACTACCTAGAACTTCTATGCAACAACTACCACCATCATATAGCCATTGTCATTAGATTATTTGATATAATATCAAAGCAATACATTGAGTTGATTTTTCATGGCTTTCCAATTCAAGATACCACTTCAAGCTCAGGAAGTTTGAGCTGCAGAAATATTCAGGAGCATTCTGATATGCTTGTCCTCTGCTTACTCCTCCTTTGGCAAAGAAGGAATGCCACTGCTGTAGACAATGCAGGGGACTAGATGGATCTTTGGTCTGACTTACTAAGGCCACTCTTATTTAACTTGCAAATTATCTGACATTTCTGGCTAAGAAACCTTCCATGAATTTGTTTTTGAGTTTCAGAGCATAAGCAAGACTCTTCAACAAAGCTACTTCCTAATATTACAGGTCTATTGCTTTACAGTTGCACTGCTGTGTGGGTGGTTGAGAGAAAAGACCTATAGGATTACAACTTGGCACATGACCAAAATTAAGCAAGTTATTTGTCATTTTTACAGTACTGTCACCACAGGAAAACCATATGTTATGCTACAGGAGTTTTTAGAAATCATGCCATCTTAACATGTATAAGCAAAAGAAGATATCATAATCTTATTAAAAATACAAAAAAGAGCAGTTACTGTCAGTTACCAGTTCTGCTTTCAGCACAATACAAAATATTTTAGTTAACCAGAACATTTCACAGCCCATCACAACTCTTAATTTGTCAAGACCCAAAAAGTAAACAAGGCACCTCAGATACTCCCTACCCAAAGTAGCATATGGTCTTGATATCCCATGTCTCTGCAAGGGATTAAAGAGGAAGGAAAACATCAATAGTAGCTCATCCAAGTGCATACTGTAAAACATATACTCTTCAAGAAAAAGCAAACAGTGTTTAACCACATTTACGTTTCGGAAAAAAGTAAATTTGGGAAGCACTAGGAATGCACAGCAATTGGCTCGAACAGTACTTAGGAGGGAATTAAACTGCCAGCACTGGTATCACATACACACCTTTCAATGATACAGAAACTCCAAAGGAAATTGTGTATTATCATCACACCATTATTAAATGGATTCTGCAAACAAAATTCAGATTGAGGACACCATAAAGCAACAGTGCTTCATATCTCAGTTCTGGCTTACACAAGGTTTAATCGTTCCCACCATCTTGTTTCCTGGAGTCGAAAAAACAACTCCTTCATTGCCATAAGGAGGTGTCCACAGCTTTTTAATTTACCTGTCCAGCTGGTAATGGTTGATCTAACATTTCAACATCTGGATGCTGAGGAAGATTATATAATCTGCAGAGGTCACATATTAATCTCTTCAGCTGTTGCAGAAGCTATAAAAAAAGAAAACATGGAAACATCTGTTTAAACCAAAGCACAGGACAATATATTTTGAATTTTTTCACCTGTTGGTACTGAACTTTCAGTCAGTGTACAGCATTTAAGTCTGCATGTGCTAGAATGAAGTTAAAAGACCCCTCTTTTTCTCTGTAGTCATTGTAATAAAATCCCCACAATGGGAAACCAAGGACATGGCAAGTTAAAGACGGCTCCCATTCATCTCCTCATGTCAAGTGAAAAAAGTCACGAGCAAAAGAATAATCTGCTCTGGCAGCATCATCCATCCCAGGCATAGGTGTCTCAGCCACAAATCACTAGGGAATAATCAAATGGTCATACTCCATGAGACAAGATGGTCCATTCCAGTTTCCTAGGTTAAAGAACCATGTCTTCAAAAAAACAAGGAGAAACAGTCTGATTTTCCACATCCTGAATCCCTTTCTAGGGCACACCAGTGAGGTACTAGAAGCAAGACAAACACTGTACAAGGCATAGAAACTAGCCAACCTCTGAGCTACAGCCCAAGTAGTCTGCTTGCCATATCTTGTATCAGGTTGAGGCACAATCTGGTATCTGATCACTGATTTATGTTTCCAGCTTTCAGCGTTACATTGACTGTGTTGTGTTAATTGCAAACTATGGAACACCTTTCACTCACTGTAATGCTATCCAGAAAATCAATTTAGTTCTGCAGAAACAGAGAAACATTAAGTTTGCTTCTTGATCACGATGTTAATTAAGTGGATTTCCATAGCTGTTAACTTTCTCTAGGCAGCCTCAGATTCCCAGTTAAGGCCAAGACCGTAAAAGACTGTACTACTGCATTTCGTAACTTTTCAAGGTCTTTGTACGCTTAGAGCGGCAACCCCTACTCCCCTTGAAGTATCTCTACGTAAAAGAGGGAGACTCAGGCAATGTGGCCTCACCCAAGGTACAGCATAGACTGTATAATCCCGAAAGAATGATACCTTTACAACACTTTGGTGTTTGTACACCGTATTTCTTAGAATATATGATAAATTAAGGTATCTAAGAAAAATCTAGTCACTCCAAAATATTCTACATGTCTAAAGCCTTGCTATTGGCCAGTTTAAATGCTCTTACCTTACCCTACTGCAAGTGAAAATTCAGCCTCTCCAGGGTTAAGAACTCATTTCCAAGCCCAAATCACTAGCAGCGATAAGCAAATGTTGCCCTTCTGCTATCTGAAAGCTTCACTGCTTTTCCCTTCTCCAGCAGAATTCAACATTCCTGTTTAATAGGAATGTTACTTATTCATCAGAGGCCATGAACTAACATACCAGCCTGCATTACAAGAATTATGACATTCCCTCCTATCACACCACGTTTGCTGTTTCTGCATCATTCATGACAGTCATCCTTAACTCGAAAACAAAGCAGATGACACCAAAAGAACTGGTGTATCAGCAACACATTTCTTGTGAGTGTATACGTGAGATGTGATAGTTTATGTTGCCAGAAGCTTTCTGTAACAATCACATTTCTCATCAGTGTTAAGACTCTACACCTGTTTGAAACTTCCTGGGTGCCTGGAACATCAGGAAATCTTTTAGCAGGTGGAAAGCAAGTTAATCAATCAAAAAATTAGTTGGTAAATAGAACCACAGGTCTTAGGACTATTATTCTCAGTATGTGTAAGATGTTTAAAAGTTGCACTGCTACACATTTTGTTGAGAAAATTTTTCTCTGTACAAACAACACTGCCTCATGGAGAGTTGGAGCATAAACTATAAAATTTCAGGAACTGTAATTTTTCCTCATGTAGCTATGTAAAGCTAGGCAAGCCATTAATTTGTTTACATCTGTTGTGAAGCATACAAAAAATCTAAATGGTGGGGGAAGAATACCACCACCGGCATATGGTTGGTCCAAAGCTTGGAAAAGCAGTTGAACACAATATTAGATGCATCTCTACAGAAAGAGACAGTAAGGGCTGGGAAGAGAGTTAAGAACTGCTTCCTGCCCTGCCTCCTCCACTCCCCATCCTCTTCACGAGAAGTCCTGTCACCTGAACTGAAATTCAGAAGGAATCTTTGCAGACAGGACCAAACACATTGTAAGCTTCTATCACTTCCTTCTGAACACAGCACGACTGTGAGGTAGCTACTCAAGCACTCTCAAAGCAACAAACTGCTGGCACAACCTGGACCAAATTACACAGTGGCTGTGCCTGAAGAGGTGCTTCCCGGCCTCCAGCAGCACATTTTCACCTTCTCATTTGCTCTGGCACCAGAGATCACACAACCATGCAGCAGCTTGCAAGCTTCAAGGCAGATCAGTTCCTGATGTGCTTCAGCACAGAAGCACCAATTTCACCATATAGGGGGAGGCAGGAATGTGCAGCTGAGAGCAGGGACCCCCTTTTCCTTGGCAGCAGTCTACACTTCAGGGTTAGTTTAATGCAACTGTCAAACTGCAGTTTCATTTTTATAGCTAAGTTGTTTTACTTGACGTCAGTTTCTACAATCTGCAAAGGTGGTGGCAGAGCGAAAAGCTGATCCCATCTTTACAGCCCTTCTTCCTTATTGCTATGTTTTTCCTCCACAGGAACTCATTTCATATCCTTGATCCTTCTGCCATGGATCACCATCACCATTATCCCCTAATGCTCTGCTCATATCTATGAAAAAATCATAGGATAATTTGGGCTGAAAGGCATGTCTGGAAGTCATCTGATCCAACCCCCTGCTCTAAGCAGAGCCTAGCATGATTTGGTATACGTTAAGGGTACATGAATAGACTGTATCAAAAGGGATAGCAGATTTCTGCCATGTATTAATAATTTAAATGTATTTCCAAGCTAACTTCACAGGCCTGGCTAGTGTAAAATGAATGCTTAACACACACGCTTTGCTGCTACTGAAGAAAAGTGGGCTATCAGTACACCAATAGTTTCCCTGGGATACAAACTGCCTAAAGCAGAAACTAAACAGCAACTAGAATGCATAATCCACAGGGTATTAAAGGAGCAATGTAAATAGCCTGCAAAGGTAAATGCTCAAGTGACCAAATACAATGACAAATTTATAAATTAATTATATTGATTATAAGTAATATAAAAATAACAAGATATTAAAATATAATATATACATCTAGAACATAACTTTTAATGCTTCAGGAGTTCTGAGAAGTTGGTAGTTCTTATGGACACCATAATGCTGTTTTAGAACACAAAAACACCTCTTACAATTTTTTGTTTCCTGTGTTAACATCTTACAAATCTGAAAACAGTTTAGAACAATTTTTCTGAAACCTATCCTACATTAGAAGGCCTTTTTATGCATGAAAAGATCTTTCTAATGCCATATAAAAGCATTAACAATTTTAGGATACCTTTAAATAATATCAATATACTGCTGGGTTCACTATGAAGCACCTTGTTTTCCGGTTACCAAGAAACATGGACTGAAGAAGTATAGTGTAAGTATACACACGTATCTACATGTATCTATATACATATATATGTACACACTATCTATATAAAAATAAATAAATCAGTCAATAAATCTTAGCCTACCACTGAAGGAAACTGCTGAAGAGGAAACAGAGGGAAGAACTAACTGTCATTTGGAGTGTGACCACTACTTATCTATCAGGTAGTCTGTGACAGAAACTCACACACATTCAGCAGCCTCAGGCAGTTTCAGAAAGTAAAGCAAAGCTTCTTCTTGCATGTTGTCTCTACGATCCCCAATACATAATTAGTTGCTGCTGTGTTGGTAGTTTGTAGGAGCCAACATTCTTTCCTGAAGTGCCATCATGTGGGACTAAATCTAAATTCTTAATACAGAAGTAGTGTGCTTAGGGACAGCAGCTTATCAAAGTTGTACACATACTTATGCCAGGAATTCTGTATTTTTGAAGCCTTCCATGCAAGTTTAAGCCCTCAAGCTTTGGAGAGTGTGAAAATTAAAGCTGCCACCTGAATTTAAGTCCATTTCACTATTGCCTTTAAAAAGCAAACCTCCAAATGATGTATAATTATATTTAATAATCCATGAAGTAAGGTTTGAGACTTTAGACTTGCAACTATAACTTCCATTATACTAAGCAGAACAACGAAATGGAAGTAGGATTTATCTTTTGCATTGCACAACCACTAGAAGGAGGCTGTCAGTTTCAGCTACCTACCGAGTCTAATGCAATGCTGATTTTCAGGATCTGAAAGGGAATTCAGGAGACACGAGGGGTCAGAAAGAATTCCGTAGCCCCTTCATCTGCTGACTGGAGTTTGTTCAATATGAACAGTCAAGCAGCTAAAGCCTCCAAACCTAATGCTATCTATGCTGATCATGTTCTTAACAACCTATCAACGTTTTTAGTGTTTTGAGGAATTTTCATAGCAAAAAGCACCATGCTGATGCCAAGGTGAACACAGTTTCAGACCCACAGAAGATTTTCCAGAAAATGTGTGCATGATTTTAACATAGGTAAAACAGTTTTCCTTTCACCATGTCAAATGACAAGGCTTCCATATATATAGCCCCATCAAACTTTTATGCCTGAAGAGCATGTTCTTCAGTTTCCCAAACAGCTGATACCTGTCAAAAGTTACAAAGCAGGTAGAAAGGGCAGAGTAATACCAAAGAACTCTAAATCAGGGCACATGTGCTAGCAGTGCTTTTAGCACATGTTCGCTGTGCTCAGTTGAGCTCCTGGAAGAGTCCAATGCAATTTCCCATTCAAAATTTGGCTGTTCCAATAGCTTTATGAGTTTAGAGCAACATGGCACAAGCGATCCTTTAGCCACAATAAATTAAATGAAAACTGGTTTGAAACATTCTAAAAGTCTAAATTGAACTAAGTGAGTTTTTAGGAGAAAGCATGATAAATCAGAAGCCTCTGAATTTCTACAGGTAGTTCCTTATCCCTTCCTACCCTACTCCAAGAAGTCTGTGTGTGAGTTGCTCCAATGTCCTTGAAGGGGAGGGAGGTAGTTGCAAGGGGAAAAGTTGTAGGGAGAAAAAACAAACCCAAAACTCACAAAGCCAAGCCTTTTGAGCAAAACGAAGTAGTCAGATTTTGTAGTGTAAGTATTTGTCTCTTCAACCACTCCCATCTGTCTTCATCTTGGCATCACATGATGTGGGGTGGATTCCTGAGAAACCAATGGGCCATCCACAGGTGTCTATTACATCAACCCATCAGCTTTTACATGGGCAAGTACAATCTTGATATCAGAAGCTGTTTTCTTACAATGTACATAAGCAGTCTATGTGCATATGCAATTCAGCACAGCAAGTCCTATGCATGTTTGTAATAAAGCTTTCTACCCTACTGCAAGCAAACCTGTAGGAAATATCTTGTTTAAAACCTTTTGTCTGAAGCTACTAGCCACACCAGCTTCAAGCTAGACAACCTTCCAAGAAGTGTATTCAAGAAAAAAGTTCATTTGGCCACATATTCTGGTACTATACCGTCATATGTCTTTCTAGGCAGAAGTCACAAAGACTAAGATCTATAACATTCCTCTAAATGTAGTTTTATCTAAAGTTTAGGTTGTAAGAAGAAAATACACAACTGATATGTATGTCTCCTGTAATCATATCCAACACATTAAAACACTAATGTTCCTCTGCAATGCTCCTTTGCTTTTAATTATGGCAAGGCATATGAAGACTCTCACTTGCTTGTTAGTTTTCTAATTATTTCTGCTAGAAGTCAAATGCATTCTAAATATTCTTCAGCAAAAGAAATTTACACATCCTTATTTAAGGTCAAGTATGCTTGACTAATATTATCCCAGTAAACATTACAGGTAAGTGATTTCATGAGAAAGAACATTCTCAACTTTTCCAAAACCAGGCAAATACTAAGGCCAGCACATAACCCATGCAAGAAGCAGTATTCTGCAGACTGATTTGGTTTGTACGCATCACGTGCATGCGTGCGTTCCTGTACACAAAAGTAAACAAAAAATTTAAAATAATCTGTTAATAAAGATCATCTTTAAGGGCTATTTAATATCCATAAAGCTGAATTTGGAGAGGAAAAACAACACTTTTAAACACTGAATTTGTCAGTAGGCTGCAGTACTGCTCTTCACGGAGCAAAGTACCTTTGTACTGAATTTTTTGTCCAAGTAATATTCAGGGACACTTACTTTCCTGCACAGAATGGGAAGTTAATTTTTTTATACATATACACACACAGCTCCTATCACTACATCAAAAGGGTACTCAAGTAAAATGTAATGCCTGATATTTTTCCGAAATACAAACCTACCATTAGAATCTGTGCAAAGATTTTCTTTAAATAGCAACTGTCAAAAGTCACAACACTGTTTAAACTTATCACTATCTAAGGAACATTCTGATGAACCAGAAGCTATCAGATCAAGTCTTCTTTACCGAAACCAGGAATTCTTTGTATTAGTTACCATTACAGCCATGTTTTGGTTGTATATGTACACAACACAAATATGTATATTCTTGAGAATATACATTCTCAAGAACACAAAGCTTTTGCCTCCGTAATTGATCTCTGTGCAAAGAAAACACTAGAAGACCTGTTTTATTCAGTAGTTTTAAGTTCTCATGCATTTTCTGAATTGTTTTCAGAAAACCTTAAACTGTGTAATTATTTGGGCTGAAACAGCTTCTTTTAAAGAGCAAGCTTTTAAGTCATCTTCTCCTCCTTGCCCCAAATCTTTCAGATTACTTTTGGTTCATATGTTTTTGGAAGAGAAACTTGTGTTTACAACCCCCCCCAAATAACCCCAAAACTGAACTACTTTAATTGCCTGTTAATGTGACAAAGCTAAACAAACACCCAAAACCAAATAAACACCCAAAACAACCAAAACACTTGCTCACCAGCGTATTGCTCTTCTTAATATCTTCTAAACGCTCTAAGACTGAAGTCAGGTTTGGGTCATCTGATTCTACAAACCATATTGGTGATGAAGAGGGGTAAGACTCCTGTTAAAAAACAACAACACAAAAGACCCAACAAATAAATAAACAAAAAAACCCGTAAAGCTTTTAAAACTCATTCACCCCAAAAATTTCACAACACAGTATTATCACCTTTTATCTCACTCTAAGTCAGGTAACATAGAAGCTTTTAACACAGCATTTTTAGGCAACGCAAAAGAAGTTGAAAGAAATCCAGCCAACTGGTTCTTCTAGTATTTCATCCTATTTTCATCTTGATCAGATGATGGACATACATAAGAAACAGTGCTGAAAAGTTTAAAACCCTGGAGGCGGGTGGAGCAGGAGGGAGAAGTTTACAAATGCAGTACAGGTGATTATTACCAAAAAATGGAGTCACAAGTAGTACATGTCAAAGAATAAAACAATATCGATGCTGATTTTTCATAAAAATACAGATTCTTCCAAATAAAAGCTGTGAAAGCAACAAAACCTGGAGTCTTCAGATTTCCTCCTCAAACAGGATTATTCAAACTGTTCTAGCACTGCCCCTCAGACTGAAACAACATAGCTCAAACCTCCTGTCTTGGAGGAGAAGTTAACGGGCAGATCACAATGCCAAAAATCTGCAATTTTATCTTTGTACCATCAAGGCCCAGAGGACCTTCCACTGTTGAAAGATGTCTCAAACAATAGCTTGCATGCAACCCTATCAAGAAAGCTTACAAAATTTCTTCCATCAATAGAATCCTACAGTTGTTAGGCAGGTGCCAAAACACATCCTAGTGACAGTGAGATCAAATGGGTTGACAGGATTAGAAGCGTACTTGATTTTCCAGAACAAGCCATGGTTAGGGCACATACAACATATGGAACAGATGTGGCCCACAACCGCTCATACAATCCATGACAAGTGATTTGTCCTGGATTCCAGCCCTTCAAAAGGTGCTGGTAAGACCCTTGCTATGGAAAGGTAAACAGAAGTCTTTTGCCTCTTGTTTAGATGTTTCAAAAAGCAATTCCAATTTTTTTCCTAACACGGGTTTGGTAACATTGTGAGGATGGAACAAACCATGTAGCTTCCAACTCAACAGTAAGTGTCCCTTCATAACATTGACATGCTTGGATTTTTGTTTTGGTTTAGTTATTCAAGGCCGCCTCCACTTCTCACCCATTCAACTAAATTCTAGTAGCTGAGGACAAATTGCTGAACCTCAGTTTTATCACCCAGATATTATCTTCGTATCCCCAGGTCTTACAAAATAGTACGAGGGAATTTTCATTCATTTCCCTCACTGCAGTTTAAAAGGAAAAATTCCGTATTTCTCATTCCAGAGACAACAAATCATGCTTCGTTCTTCAACACTTAGAGTAAAAATTCCTACTGCTACGCTAATAGGTGACTCCAAAATGTGCACTATGCTTACAACT